GGGCCTGTTCTCCACCATCCATCAGGTTTTATGGGCAGCTGGGGTTAGATTTTTATATCATGATGACAACACAAAGAATTCAGGCACCTCAGCAGCTAATAAAAGCTTTCTGTCTTCCAATCATAAATTAATGTACTAGTGTAAAATAAGGAGACTGATTCTTTTCTTAGCTAAGAAATCAGTGCAGAGCAGCAGAAATATTTGGAAGCCAGCAGGAGATGTACTATATAATTAAACTGTTGTCCTTGCCGATAGGTTATTATCAGCAGGTAACAAGATATATGCATCGTTACAAACCATCTTACAGTATTTCATGCTATTACAGATGAGGTATGTCTTTAGTGGCAGCATAGGATGATCGCTCAGACATTGTTGCCATTATAGCGTCTATAAATTACAACTTAACAGTTTAGTAGTTTATCAATTAACTCTAGTGCCAATGCTTAAAAATTCTTTACCAAAAAATGGCTGATTTTTTCACCCACTGAGGAACTGTTTTTAAAAGCCTGCTTTACAAAAATACCTGCAGACTAGAAGGGTTGACCCTGTGACAATTAAAATATACTTAAACTTATACCAAAGTTGCTAAACCAGCCCACCCATAACTAGAATTCATCAAATGTTTTAGGATTCCATTTTGTAAATAAAAATACAAGTGAAGCAAATTTACTGGCTGTAATTTATATTTGGGTAGGGGGATTACCATATTCTAAATCGCTAGCCAGAAATGGCTGCCACTGCACCTTTTCCTGGCTGCAGACTGCCAGAAGGCTGTGAATGTCAAGTGCTTAGTAATTTTCTTCCCTAGAGTTTAAGCTATAAATAAGGACAGTGTGGAGAAGTTTTTTGTCTCTGCTGGAGAAGGGACTTGAACTTATTGATGATGTCAGGTCACCATCTGCCACAGATCCTGTTTGTGCAGATACAAAATAAGACAATGCAGTTGTTGAGCTAAAGATCTTGTGAACAACTCATGCAGAGTTGTTTCTGTTTCACAGACCCATTTTATGTAAAGGAATAACAACATTGACAAGGTTTCACTTCACATATCTTAAATATCATATTAACTGTTAATATGTTGTTAACTATTATTAACATAATACCAATTCTATAACCAACATGATGGAAAATTAGACATGAGCTCTGTGGCCTGTTTTGATGCTGCATTGGCTAATTAAGAATTACAGCACTTACACCAGTGGTGCCTGTATGTATCTCAAGCAAGTGACAAAGTGTCACTGTCTGTCTTCCTGCAAGGGGAAGTAGGAACCTTACCTGTCCTTCCAGGACTGAGGAGAGGTATTGGAGGAACATGGAAATCTACGTGCCTGACATCTGAAAGCTGCAGCTGGTTACTGCCACCAACCTGCTTGTAAGAGTAGAAGGTATCAACATAAGCACACTTGTTCAAAAATAACTAGTTATATCTGTTTGTATAAGATATAGTGGCTCTCTCCTGAGTCATGTAGCCTCAGTTTGAATGTCATATTAGGCTGTGTCAAAGTATTTTAAAATAATAGACATCCGCATAGCTGTTAAAAACAAGTGCACGTAGTGTGCTTTTAAGAACACGGGAATGGGAGTCACAGTAACTCTCACGCGCTTATCTATTGTAGCCTGCAGCAGAAAAACAGAGAGTATGGTTTGTTTCCCTGCTAGTGTACTTTGGTAATGGTATAGTTGCTAGGTGGAGTTTTTCTTTATGCTTCTTCTTGGCAGGGTAAATAGTGTTTCACTTTCCTGAGGTTAGGTTAGCGCTGATAATAGAGTTAACAGGATTAGTTGTGCTCAGGGCTGCCACGTGCAGCGTAGATCACCACTAGGCAGCAGAGGGGATGGGAAGGACGGTGGCACTGGGAGCCCACCTGGGATTGCACTGGTCCCTGTTCTCAGCCTGGGGATTCCAAGTATAAACCTGCCCTGTGATGACCAGCGCTGGATGCTGGTGACGGCAAAAGCCATTAGACTGGGGTTTACATGCTGCCTTGCTGCTTACAGCTTTCTTTCACTCATTTTATTTAATTTTAAACTTTTTTTATTTAATAAAAAAGGTCTACAGCCTTAGTTACATTGTATCTTACAGTAATTAGTTACATGGGCACAAGAAATGTGATTTTACACTGGCTAGAGTGTAAAATATATATAAACAAGGAAAACAAGGAAAAATGGATATTCTGTATTTCATGTATTATTCTTTTGTATGGCCCCATGTCTGATTTGCTGCACGTTCCTTGCACCATGTTGTAAATCCAGAATAATTAATTTTATCTTTTTTTTTGCCCTCCCTTTATGGCACTTATCAGTATAGTATCCAATTGCTTCTTAAACACTAATTAGTTCATTTTTCTCAAAGGTCCTGAAGGATAAGAAAATCGGAATTTTACTTTACAAATTGAAAAAGATTGGAAGAACTTAATGATTTTGGGTCCAGTATGTGATACCTGGAGATGGATTTTTTTTTTAAGAGATTGTTTAGCATTCTCTAGGATTGGCTGTGTTCACATACAGCCCCCAGTGTGCTCAGTTGCAGCTGTGAGAACTCAATGCTTTTTTGAACTAAGCACTGTAGAGGGCACTCATTTCTTCAGACTGTAGCATCTACGCTGGAGAAACCTGCATCTGAGCTAGCTGACTATAATGACTAGAAATATATGCTTGGGGAGCACGAAGCATCCCATCCTAAGGGCCGATATACAAAGCAACTTAAAGTCAAGGTTTCTTGTAGGAGGGAACTCGGAAAATGATTGTTGCTTGTGAAAAAGCTGGGTTAAGGAACTTGCCCAAATCACAGGGAGATGGTGAGATGAAGGCAGGGACAGGACTCTGCTCCTCAGGGCTGCATTCAGCTGCCTTTGTCATTGAACCCATGCTTTTCTTTCTGTGATCTTCTGCCTCCTTTTCTACACGTCTTCCTTTTTCAAATAAGGACATTTATACAGTTTTCTTCCAGGAGCTTGGCCCATTCGGTGAGCAGAATCCATTTTGTTCATAAATCCTGTGAGAGTAAAAGGAAATCGTTACCTCATACTGTGATTAAAGATTTAATACCTTTTCAAAATTATGAATTCATGGGAACGCAGTGAGCACGGGATTAAGTTTCAAGTTCTTGAGAAGAATATGCTTTAGTGTTCATAAATCCTCCCACTTCTGTTACACTCAACCTTTCCTCCTTCCTTTCACCTTTACCCTGTCTTAATTCTTTGCTGTGCTCTCCACTCAGTCATACTACTCAAATTCCACTGCTGTGTACCAGCAGCATCACTGATTTCTGTTCCTCAGCATTCACCACATTGTTCCTGTAGGAAGCCTTTTTTTTTTAATACAAAAAGTTCTGCTTGCCTCTGAAGCTCTGAGGTGGAATATGTTCATTGTGAAGAAACTGCTGGAGACCAACTACACAGTGCCAATAAATATCTTCTGCAATTATGTAAACTAAGCCACTCATGACTTGGCCAAGTTTATACAGGTTTTCTAGGCTGCCAAACTTGAGCACATTACTAAAAAGCACAGCTTTAATTAAATGGTTATAAACATTTTCTTTATATGAAAGAAACGCAGATTTCTGTTAATTTGCTTTTGGAAATGACTGACCTATTCTTGATGGGACTTAAAAGAAAATCACTAGCCTGAGTAAGTACTTCAGTGTAGCAAATTTCAGCTCTAACAATTTCAGCTTGACCAAACTAAAAGCAACTGAAACTGAGTCTAATTGTTGGAGACCCACCTGCAGAAGGCCCTAACAAAACTGTAGGCAATAGCCCCTTTACATATATAGAAATAGGACTGTGTTCCCAGCCCATATCTTTGAAACGATCAGTGTTTAATTTTCTAAGAAAATAATGCTTATGCAATCACACATCTCTGTGTGTGTGCATATTTGTCCTTCCTTCCTCCTTCACATTTTTTAATTCAAGGCCTAATTTCATTGAATAATTTACATTGGAAGAGTCACCTACAGGTCACCTCTTCCAGCCTCCCACCTAAAGCAGGGCTAGCTTCAACATTAGAGCAGGTTGCTCCAGGCTTGGTTGATTTTTTTAATACCTCTGAGGATGGAGCTTCCACAACTTCTGTAGGCAGCCTCCTTCACAAACTTATTTTCTTGAAGATTGCATTGGGATTCCTTTTATAAAAAATACTAATATTAATGTCCAAATAAACTGTTCTGTCAACATGCCTTCATCATTTTTTGCTGTATCTCTTCAAGGTCTTGCTATGAATATAAAACCAGTTGCTTGAACAAAAATTTGCTTGTTTCTCCAACTCCAACATTTGTAAGATTTGAAAGTGACTCTAGGAAAAAAAAAGTTTCTAAAAGAGAAGGGAAACATTCCAGTTAGGCTTTATTGTGTCATCTGTAAAAGGTAAGAAAAAGGGGAATGAGCTGGTTAGACAGTTGCCGTGATCCTTACTATGAAAACACTGCTTAAATGGAGGTGGTGTAGTGGATTGCTGCTGACCCAACCTTGGTTCCATATGGTTTGCCTCATTTATTCTCTTCTAATTTAATTTATAAAATAGGGGAGAACAAAAGTAAAATTGCATAGCTGGACCATACTCTGTCTACGTAAAAGGCAACTATTAAAAGCAATTGTCATGCTGTGTTGTAGTAATTAGGGGACCTCTTCCAGCCCTTTATAAGAAACAAAATTATATTGATGTTAATGACTTTAATACTAGCTACCTGGGCTACAACCTCTCTTCTGATTATTATCAAAAGTCACAAAAAACTATCCTTTGATGACAATATACATTTTCCAGGGGGAACCCCCCTTATATTGCAGCATTCAAAGATGGGTCTCTACTATCTAGATAAAGATAACCCTTTTAAAAAGTCTGTCTCTTGTGTTTTCCATTAATTTAGACGATTTAAAGGGGACTTGCAAAAGTTACTTGCGAAATTTCAGCAACTTCCTGCTTTGAATGCTCTTCATAGATGGGCTGAGAGCCACTCAGAACTCTATTGCAACATTATACATACTTATTTTTGTCACATCTAGGTCCCACAATGTACTTTCCTGATCCAGATTCTGTGCTTCTGTTCTAAGTAATGTTCCAGCAGGCAGGACACTGGGGATGGCGCGCACAACACGAAACTCTGCTGGAGCATTGAGCAGGCTGGAGAGTCAGGTAAGTGTCACTTAAACAACATGACATTTGAGGAAATTTCAGCAAAGCTTTAAAAGTTATTTTACAGCCCAACAAGAAAACTAGGTAGTACAGCAAATTTAAAGCTTAGAAACATTTCCAGTATTGTAGATGAGATCACTAGCTCCCTATAATTTTCTGCTTTCGTTTTTTCACTCCTTGTTGTTTGCTTGTACCAGAATTACATAGTAAATAGGTCTGGATTTTTTCACATTTATGTTTTTCACAGTTGATTTCTGGCATAGCAAGTTCTAGCAGACTTTCCCTCTTGCTTGGACTTAATGCCTATGCCTAGCTGACCTTTTGCAACATGTGAGGCCATAACCCCCGACCCTCAAGGGTGTTTAATACAGGACGAAAATCCTTGCAAGTGTCCAGCCTCTGTAGCGCTCTTCAGAGCTCTCCAATGGGCTTTCTGGATGCTTCTGTATTAGCTGCATTTCCAGTATGCAGCTTGGCCAGGTGACCTCATTGTAATCCAAAAGCCATTAGCATGTGGCACTCAGTACCCCCCAGGCTTGCAGGCAGCTCCGCACTGGCAGGCCAGTCCTTCCCTGCCTCCAGACAGGCTCCTTTCCTGAGCAGTAGGGCCTATTGCTGAGGAACCTGGCAGCCTGAGGTGGGATTCTCCCACTTTCAAACACTTGAAACAGAGAGCATGGTACCTTGCCATGGAGGAAAAACCAGAGTGCCCCAGCTGTGGGCCCTCACCCGCGCAAGGGCTGCAGCGGGGCTCCAAGGCAGGCACCGTGCATACAGCCCTGCCACCACAGCACCTCCACGATGCCTCCACAGCCCCATCCCACCTGGCCTTCCCTGCCAACATGGATGGATAGGTCCCCCGTGCAAAGCCAGTCTGCCTAAATATGCAGGTAGGAGGGAAAAGCCAAACAGGAATTGTCTGAATGGTCTCCGTACTAGTTATGGCAGTGAAGTTGTTGCTTAGGACAGGGTGGATTTTTTTTTAGAAGTAGTTTTGATCAAAGCTTCTTTAGCTTCTTCAATTCTAAATGTGTAATTGCTTATACTTGAAATTATAGCTCATCTTTTCCGTTGGCTTACCAGCTGCTTTTCTGCAGGTCATAGAAAGAATTAATCAACTCAAAACTGAGTTAATCATTGATTACCCAATAGTTTCATATGACTTCATGCAAAATGCCAGAGTGATTAGCTTAGCTTTTATTAAAAGCAGGAAAAATACAGCCCTCCGGATTATGGAGAAAAATTTGGAACTCAAACCGCGCCAACGTAGCCTATGGAAAGTTGGGAGGATTAGAGCAGACAGCAGCAGTTTATGGGACAGGGGAAGAATACAGCATAGCTAGGTCACACCCCCAAATCTCTCTCACATATTGAGAGAGTCACTGGTTATAAGGTTTGTTTCCTGTGTTTATCTAATTCCTTACCATACTGCTGTTCATATTCTGTTGGGAGACTGACGTAAAAGAGAAAAGATCACTCTTAGGAGATCATAGTATTTTCCGCTTGTTGGCTGGCTTCATGTGTCTGCTAGTACTGTGATCTAGACTACTGCATGGACCTACTTGTCACAGGCCTTTCAAAAGTACAGTTTTTTATAGTGCTCCTGCTTCTACACTTGCTTCTTTCTGGTCTACACCTGTACCCTCTCCTGCATCATATTCCATCTCTCCACACCAGACTATAACTCCCTGAGCCTTTGTCCCTACATTTTCAGTCTCCTGCCCATGTTCTCATATAAAAAAGCAGGTCCTGGCACTTCTCAGTGGGTGCTGAAGATATGGTATATGATAAAGACAGAGCAGGTCACGAGCCACTGTCTTGAGCAGGTACAAGTTACTGCATGCTAGTTCTTCCACAATGATCGCCCATAGCACATGTGAAACAAGTTAAGGTTATTTGCTCTTCTAAGCCTGTAAAAAAATGAAATGCATCACAAGCAAATAAGTTTCTATTTATGCTGAGCATTTCAAATACAAATACAGACAGTGTTGTTTTGATTACAGTATTTCCCCTACTGCTCTTAAAGAATATAAAATGCCATTACTCATGTAGCAAGATGCAGCCACGGGATCGTGTGACTATCTCAGTAAGCAGGCTTATTTTGCCCGTCGGTCATAGTAATGTTGCCTCTGTTATAACTTACCTATTTAATCTCCTTCATCCTTCATGATAACTTAAAAGAAATCTCACGTCTTCTGGAAGCGACTCTGTTTGCTTCTAAAGACAGTGAACATTTTAAAATACAACTGTACCACCACCCCTTTTAAAGGTATATGCAAGTTTATTTGTCAGGCATTTATGCCGTTACTTTATCATCTCTTAAATTAATCATTTTATGCTATTTCTCATATTTATACACAGTGAAAGTACAAACAAAAAGACAACATCCTTCCCAATAGGGCTTAGTATCTAAAACCAGATGTAACATATAGCCATTAACATCTACGTTGTGCCCGTTAAAAGAAAAAAAAAGTGCAGATAAGTTGAAAATAGTAAATTATGGTAGAATAGTCTACTGTGAGGAAAAAAGCTGAGTGGATTCCATCCATTGAGAATATATTATTGTGCACTCTGCAACAGTTTTGTAAAGATTTTTTTCTTTTAAATCATTAGTGATCAATAAAGATTTGAACTGGATGATGCTTTTGTAGTTCAGCTATCTTCTCGCTTATTTTTAACAGAGATTATTTATATAAAATACTATCTTAGAAACTACTGCACAAAAGCTAACTAAGAATATTCTGATAATGTTAGAAGTTTCAGAACAGTTTCCAGAGATCAGCTCAAAGAGGTATCATTCACTGCAGAACAGACAGGTAGTCACAACATTACCAGAAATTCAGGACCCAAGGTTCCCAGTCTGTTTTCCAGAAATCAGATTAGCCTTCCATTGCCAAAATGACTTTGAGTAACTGAATCTCTGTCTGTTGGCCACTTTGCTATGAGTCATCTCTGTATGCTAGAAGAAAAGATGCCATAAATAAAGGGTTAGAATAGAGTAGCTGATCCTTGGGAACTTGGTGGGGAAGCAGTCAAAGAAGATACTAATCTACAGGCTCATAAATAATTACTTATCCTTAGTGTACCGAAGGGTGCTTCTGCATGCACTGAACGAGCTCCTGTCCAGTGCTAGCCTGTGGGCTGTGTGACGCTCTTAAGTGGTGTTGTAGAAGGTCGTTGTTAAGGAGGTTGCTGAATAAGAGTTTATTCCTGACATTAATGTTTAACAGAAACAGTTACATTAACATAAAAATGAGAACAAAGTAAATAAAGGGGGGAGATGTACATTTCACCCAGTGTCTTGCTCCACTGATTCTAACAGTCACTAGTACAAGCAGAATTTTTCGTTCTCTTAAAAGTTTCTACAATAGTTTACCACATGATTTGAAACTACAAGTTTAGATTAAATTACACGTTAGCTGATTCATTATTCCTAATGTAAGGTTCTTCAGCTGAATTTGAAAGTTCAAAGGCTGTGATTAGAGGATTCCCTCCCTCACTTAAATCAGGGGACCTGAGGAAGATTTAATATTTTTAAATTTTCTACATCTTTCAGAGAAAAGGAGGTGGTTTAGTCATTTCAATAAAATGTGTTGTCAGGTATGTTTGCAGAGTTACACATGCATTTACTTTATCTTCATACTTTCTTTGCATTCTAATTATACCAAAATTTACTTTTTAAAAGATCACTGAAATGCCACCAGTACATATAATTCATTCACTCACTCACGAAAATGAACTAAATCAGCCCTGATCTTAGCTGTTAATTTGTTCTCTTTTCTCTGAAAGGTGTTATAATGCCTGTTCCTTACTCAGTTGAGTCAATGAAACTCTGTGCCAGTTTAAAGTAAGTGTTAGGCCTATTTATCTACTGAAGGAATAAAACTCCCTGCACACAACCCTTGACTTCTGGTGTTCAGGATACGCAGTTCTGTGAAGGACAACACAACGCCATTGCGAGTGCAGCGTTTTTGGTTTCCGCTATTCTCTCCTGTCTCCCTTTCCATCCTCAATACATTAAGCACTTTTTTTTAATTTTTTTTTTTTAACACAATCAGCTTTAGGTCTATAACTGGAACACATTTTCAGTGTTTTTATTAGCTAATTCATACTCATGTTTGAATGTAGTTTCATATGCAATATTTTGTTACACCTTTGTAATCATCTAGCCAGTTGTAAACTAGATTTATTCTACTGTACTGTAAGCCTACCAAGGTTGCTGGGCAAATGAAAGCCTCCAAAAAAGCTCCAGGCATACTCACTCCCCTTATTGCCCCTCAAAGTTATTTTTAAGACAAACACCAACCATATAACTCTTCAGTATAAGAGTTAAAATTTATCAAAGTCCTAAAAAGAAAGAAACTAGAGGTGAGCATGGAAATCAGGGTGCAACTTCAATGGGCATTTCTATGAATTACTGCATAACGAGTTTTTAATTACATCATCTTGGGAAGTAAGACAGGCTATAACAGGGTGGACATTGTCACGATGTGAGAAACTTCCAAGAAAAGCAAAAGCAATTCACGGGAGTGTTGCTCTAGTTCCTTTCTGGAAAAGTTGCCTGTTGGAGCCATGCTTCTAAGTTACAGCTTTCCTTCAGTATGTGGGTAGGCTGCAGACTTGCCTTGTTCTGTCCTTGCTCCAACATCTCCAGTCCTTCAGCCAACTCAACAGCCTAAGCCTGAATCAGGCCTTTTTTGCAAAGATGAATGAAGATGTGTTCTCTCTCCAAGCTTTCCAGATGGTGGCGGGAACAAAGGGGAAAACCATGGAACAGACATTCCAAACCTGATGAAAAATCCAACTTTCATCATTGTTGCCAAGGAGAAATGGATGTAATATTAATATATTCTGTTCCCTAGTTCCTGAGTGAGGATAACAAGCAAAGTCTCTTCCACAGAGAGGACCATTTTCCATTTCAGAACAACAGACAAATCTCTATACAAAGATTAATATGCCTTTTCTTACTTGCTTTGCTCACCATCCATGCCTGTAGAGTA